TTTGACCATTTAATTCATAAAATATAAATAAATAGATAGAAATGTGAACTTATACAGCTTATTATATATATAATATAATATCTTCAAATATACAAAATATATACAATCCCACCAGTAAATAATCTTGAAACACTTTCCCAAAAAAAATTAAATTAATTAACTATACTGGAAATGAACCACAAATGGTAAACTATAGATTATTTTTTACAAAATAATAATTCTTAAATCTCGATCAAATACTGATTAATTCGCTGGCACTATTAAATACTCTTTCGTCCTTAAATATATTTACATAACAAATTTATAAATCAATTCAATAAAATATTAATCAAGATTATTGTTTACATTTATAGCTAAGATATTTTTTATATTTTATTATAATAAAACATAAACTACTCAAATAAAAATAATAAACCATTACTAATTATAAACTAACAATACAAACTAAAAAAGTTTAAGTTTTCAATAAGTTTTAAAATTATTTGTTAATAGAACAATAGTTTATTATCAATTCGAATTACGAACATTATTTGAATTTTCTGTAAAATGTTTATTGTTAAATAAAAATAAAGGATGAACACAATTCTTTGGTATCCCAATCTTACCTATAATTATTTTCACTTTTTCATTTCATACTACTGCTCAGACGTGCATGACTTTGTGGTTATATCACTTACTCATACATGATAGAGACAAGGTCATCGGCTCTTCTTTTTTATTATATAAACAACTATAAAAAATGTTATTACTTTTCACTCAAAACATTTTCATTTCATTTTAAGTTTTTACAAAACAAGAACTATAAATTATAAAAATAATGCTTGATTTAACTTTATTTAAATATAAATAATTGTATTAAATTATAATAAAATTAGTTAAATAAATTATTTATTTAATTCAAGTAATCCATTTTTAATTCAAAGTTAAAAGCAAATATTTTTAATTATGAATATATATATAATACGTAACTTTTAATACTAAACCATCAATATTTAATGTCATAATAAAATATAATTATTAGTTTTGCCATAAAATACCTGCTATTAAATTAAAACCTTATTATCAAATTGTATTCCGAATTAGTATCAGACCAAAAATGTATAAGACTTTAGAACAAAACAAGGAAGCGTAGTATACGAGTATGTTTTTTTTTTTTTTTAGTTTCTAGTTTGCAAGCTAGAACTTTGCTTAAAAGGCTTAAAGCTTTGAAAACATTTTGAGAGTTCACATCATCACTCATGCGTACGATTTTTCCATAGTAAACTTAATACAGTATTTACCCAAATTCTGAATTAAATAAAAATTATAAAGTATTACTATAGAAATAATAGATATTAAAACGCAAAACGTTAGATATAATCTATTTCATGGTGTCAAAAATAGTAATCAATAAACTTCAACTATTATAAGTATTATCCAACAATCGTACTCATAAATGTATTCATATTAAATTTGAAAGTGTAGTGCAGACTATTTTCTCTCATTATATCATTATCATTATTATTAATGTATTTTATGTATAATGCTATCTCACACTTAGTAAAACATGGGAACAGCGAAGCTCATTATAGTACATAACAATGTACCAACATTGTTATGTACTGCAATAGCGCATCATTCATTATGTTGCGGAATCGTCGCATAAATAAATCTGTATAATGGTCTAACAATTTTATGTTTGATGTTCATTTAAAACAGGACATGTTGTATACGTTGTATCTATTACAGTATACTAATTGTAATACATTTATGACAAGTATGTTATAACCATAATATACATATAAAGTGTGTAATGAATGTAAAGAATGTTCCTCATAGCAGTGCGTCTGTTTCAGACTGAACAAGTTACAAGGTAATAATAACGAGTTAACATAAATGCACAATCAAGACGAAATATACTTAAATATTTTTAAAGATTTAACAAATCAAATAAAACGATATGCAATCGAATAAATAATTTTAATTTTTTTTAATTCTTGTACTACATCAAAAGCATGTATTTATAAATAAAATTATTAATGTATGTTTTATCATAATTAGTACTAATTGATAATTATAAATATTTACTGTACTTTTAGCCTCTGGGGGATTGTTATTTTATATTAATAATAAATAAGTAATTATTATAATTATTATTATTATTATTAAATGTTATCATTATTTACATTAAACTGAATATGAACGCATTAATAGGCTAACATTCTGACTATAACATAAATCAGTATAAACATTGGTTATAGAATAAATATATAAATCCTATAATCAATGGTATAACCTCGATTAATAAGAAAGAAAAATGTAATTTATCATGAAACTCGGAATGAAATAATTGTATTTAATTCTTACGCGAAATTTAATGTTTACACTATGAATTTAAACATGTAATTTATTTATTATACTGTTAAAATTTTATTATATAAGATCATTATCATCAAGTAAAATGAAGGTGTGTAATAGCCCTAAATATATAGTTTTAAACTATGTCATACTACAAATATTGTCATTAAGAAGAATTAAGACTACATTACTGGTATGTGGGCCAAATAGAAATTGAATAAAATTGAATTGAGCTACAAGTAAAATACTCTCAAATCATCTTTTAAATATTATTCTGAACATAATAACTGAAATTAGATATTCATTCAATCATACCAGAGATCCTTACATTTATATATCTCTTATCACACATTAAAAAGAGGCCATTTATTTTTTATTTAAATTTTATGAGTACTATTAATAACAACGATAAATAATAGATACATTAAAATTAACTGAAGACGAAGTAACATAAAATATAACTTAACAAATTAATAGATTTAAATTTAACTACCAATTGTAAATACATTTTATTATGTTTATACCATAAAGTATTATATATAACTGTAATACATACATTTATTCTAAAAACATTTGCCCCAAAATGTTAACAGTTAGTCGACCGTGTTTATTAATGATTAAGAGCCAAACACAAAAAACGTGCACGTTTTTCTTAATACTGATATTACACACCCATCAATGTTGAAAGAAAATTGAAATGCGTACAAAATTATTTTTCAAAGAAAAAAGGAAATATTAATGTTGAAAAGATTTAGATACTAATGGTTTGTTTGTTTGAAATTTTAAAATAAATAGTTATACATAAAAATGCTTAACTATTGAATAATTCAATAATGGTTAAAAAAAAAATGATTTTATTAATTCCACTGCTTCAAAATTAATTTCCACATTCCAGAAGTAATACGTCGATTTCAATGATAAATTTAGAACAATTCATTGGAAAGTTATTAAAAATTGTTTTACCCAAATAATATAGAAATTATTAAAATTATAAAAATTGTGAAAATTTGTTTAATTTGTTCTTAGAAAATTATCTAACATTAACGTTAAAGGCGTAATTTAAGTTAGTTAATTCCTCAAAATTAAATTTAAATAATTTAATAATGTCTGCTGCAAACCTACAAGTACAAAAAAAAAAAAAAAAACTTAAAATTGAATGATAATAATTATCATGCAATTTTTAATGAATTATTCATAAAATTCATAGATGATTGTCGAAAAATTCAAAAGTTATAAACCAAACTTTAACTCGTTTTCATTTAGTCAATTTTGGTTTTAGGACTATTGTAAAAAAGGACCAAATTGATCTAAAAAATGTCAGTCTATCCAAATCTGTTATTAAAAGAAAGTACCTATTCGAAAAAATACAAGTTGTGATGCGCATACACATGATAAAAGGATTGGGCAGCCACGGTAGAGAACAACAACATTCTAAGTAACATATCACCAGGACATATATTCACAGTATTTCACCTACAGCGAAATCTGTGGTGCACACTTAATAGAATACGAACTTTGCTCGGTAGATGTGCAGATTCCTTGCACAAATGGGGTATGAGAAATTTATCAGAATGTGATTGTGGAGCAGAAAAGCAGATCATCTACCACAAAGCTTTTGTATGTCCTATCCACACCTATTGAGGTCCCAGAATCGACTGTTGAACATTTATTAAATAGCTGGAGGAACTAAAACTTAAACTCTAATACCAAACACATTGTTTTGTTACCTTATTAATATTATTCACTGTTACCCATACTACTAACTACCCTATTTTTGTTTTATTTTTATATAATTTAATTATTTATTATTCATCTTTTATACATCAATTAAATTTATTACACGTTTCCATGTTATAATTAGCCTAATGCATGTAACTATAAGTCATACGCCAAATAAAATTATTAAAGGATTAACAATTTGAAAACCATCGAAAAAAAAACTCCCTTATGTAATACAACAAATCTAAGTAGTACAGAATAATATCTGTTAAAAAAAAAAAAAATAATAATTTATATACATAACAACCACACTAATATATATAATACTCTAATTAATTATTATGTAATGATTATTTTAAATTTTAAAATGAGAAGTAAAAATTTTGAGTTACAGTTGAGGTAAAATCATTTGAAATTGAATATAATTTATAGAATAAACAAAAATTAATAAAAATTTAAGTAATTATTTTAACACTCAATTTTACTAAGTACTTATTATTTTTAAAAACTCCACATATGTCTAAATCATAGCTAAAAAGCTGGTTAGAGTCAATATAACTAGTCTTTAAACATTCTACATCTGTTAAATAATTATTTAATTTTTGAAATACTCTTTACTAGAAAAATCTAAAATAAAAATATTCAAAACATAATATATTGTTTAGTAATAATAATAATATTTAATAATAAAAACTTACATTTAAATAACACATTTTAAAAAAAAACAAAAAATTAAGTCAAAAAGTCACAGACTAAAATTATTGATGACTCATAATGTAACTTGACATTTTCATTTAGTTTTAATTTTAACTAATTTATAACCAGCCTTAGTAGACAATATAGTAATAAAATAATACTAATTTTTAAAAACATTGCTTTTTTTCACTTAATTATTCAATATTCTCAAACAATTTTTAATTACGAAGAAGAAATTTGAACCTTACCTGATTAATTCCAATTTTATACAACGACTCATCCAAATCAGCTTTACTCATTATCTCGAAAACACACTGACGATGATCTTTAATGGTGTTATTGGAATCATCATTTTTTAAATTACTGGGTAAAAAAACACCAAACTTCCGAATAAACTCAGCAATATACATAGAAACAGGGTAGCCTTGTTTATAAAAACGAATAGTTGGTAAAATATCTGAACCACGCAACTAAAAACAAAAAAAAAAACAATTATGAATTGAAAAAAAATTATACTTTTTACACATTACTATAAACCAATAATAAACTGAAACTAAACAATATAAATTACCTGTTGCCTCAACAGTGATACATCAACAGGTTCTGTGTTAGACTTATTAGAATTAGGACTTAATGTAATTGATTGTAATTTATACATGGAATGAAAAACTCTTGTAGCAGCAACATCAGTACGATTTGTAAAACCAACATCATGTTGTACAATAAAACAATGAATAAAATGCTGTCCAGTTCTTCGCAAAGTTTCAACTAGTCCATCCTTAAAAAGTAAATCACCATTTAATGATAGATGAAATTAATTTTAGTTCATAATGAAATAAAATATTAATACAATACTAACCACTGCAAACCGTATTTGAACACATGTTAATTTTCTTTTTAGTGTAGCTGCTGTACTAAGACTACCAAATGTAGCTCGTCGAATACTAGACATACGTCTCAATGACTGGGTTCCATCTACAATGGCTAATGTACTTGTAAGACCAGCACCACGATTTTTGGAGAATACGGTTGAAATATCAATACTAAATAAAGAAATAAATTAACTTATATCATTCAATAAAAAAAAAAAAAAATTAATTAATTTAAAATACTTTCACACACTTGGATGAATCATGAAGAAGTGATAATGCAGTTTTTGCCATACAATCACGGCACATGCCTGTCCATCCATTTATGTTATATGTTATTGGCATGGTTTCGCGAAAATGAACTAGAGTAAATTCATTTGGTTTATTCCCTTTCTTTAAAATATTTGAAAATGCTGCAATAATAATAATAATAATAATAATAAATGCATATAAATAAATTATTTGAGGTTTAAATGACAATCTATCACCACTAACATTTATCATTGGATAAATTAAGAATTCTTTCGATAAGATCATGATCGGTTGAATTCCCATCACCAGCAGTATCATCTAAAATTCTCAATAAGCCAGGGCATGGTTCAGGTTTTAAATCTAACATTGATGGACTACGACCAAAACCGACAGCTGCTTTGGCTCCAATAAATAATTTTAACATGTGATCTTCAGCACAAAACTCAGCTTCATAACTAGCAGCTGTTTCTACCTTTTCTATTTTATACTTTTCTAATGGAGCAACAATAGCATGATTATGGTAACTTGATAACAATCGCTCGTGAAGATAATTTGTCCAGAAATCAAACATATTTAATGTTGACTTTGATGTAATAGTATATCCAGGATAATCTGGGATTAATACAGAACAAAGAGAATGAATAGATGGAGCTAATTTACTGAAAAAAAATAATAATAACAATAAGTATAGTTTATACATATTACATTATGGTTGAGAGGACATCACATTTGCATGTATGCTATCTGTCTTAAAAATGTACAACATAGCAAATCTACACTCGGTAGAACTAATTTTATGTAATTAGCTTCAACATATGAGTAAACTGACTTATTATCAAACCTTAAGGGAAGAACATTATCTGTTTTTTTTTTTTTTCATGGGTTTTTAACATAATCATAACTTGCTTAAAAATTTAAACATCAAAAAAAATATAGTAAAAAACAATAAAACTTATATATATATATATATTTTTAATTTTAATGATCAGTCAGTTTAATTTGCTCTAACATTATACTAACTAATGAAATTGGTTCAGCAAAATGCACATTTCTTATGTTGTACATATGTAAAATGGAGACATGCAAGTGCTCTTAAAATTTATGTTTAAAATTATATCTACCGATTGATAATAGAGGCAACTAGATTAAATGTTTCAGTGTAAAGTCCAATTATCATAGAATTTAATTGTTCGCCAATATCACACTCATTAAACAACTCAACATCTGGAAATACTAAACTGAATAAATCATCTGCGTTTCCAGCTCCAAGACATTTTGCAGCTCGTTTAGCTGCATCAGAATTGCTCCAGGTCCATTGTACTTTATCCTTAAATATACTATCTAAAAAGTAAACAATATACATTTATTTAATATAAATTCATCATATTGAATGTACTAAAATGTTGTGTTTACCCTTCTTTACTATTTTAGTATGACCAAGGTGTATAATGGCAGCTAATACAGAATAAATTGCTTTTAGCTCAGTATTAGAAAACCCAAGAATCATCATAGCGGATTGAAGATTAGTAAACTCTACAATTGCTTGACTCTTATCAACTCCCTAAAAAAACAATATTTAACTATACAGTTTATACATTCAAATTAAACAAAATGTATTTTTCTTACCTTTAAATCATCATTGATTTGATCTAAATACAATTCCTTACGCAAAGCAGGGATATTTTCAATACCAGCTAATAAATAGTAGAATACGTGGAAAGAAAATTCATTGAAAGGATGATCAATGAGTCTCCATTTGTCATAAAAATGCATTTGTAGAGACATTGAAGCAATTTGTCCTCCCTGATCCAAATCAATGCTAAACAAATGTACAGATCTAGTTGAATTAGGATTATTTGCAGTAGCTGCATTTCCAAAAGCTTCTAATACTGTCCACATAGCTTCAATTTTTTCGAAAGTAACAACCTAAAATTATAATTAATTCATTACTTATACAAAATATGATAAGATATAATATTAAAAAAAAATAAATAAATATGTTCATAAATACCTTATTAGAAGATCCTGCTGTTTGTACAAGATATTGTATTAGATGTTTACACGTAGTTGATTTTCCACTAGATTGACATCCCATAGGAATCAAAGACTGGTCACGACGTGAAGTTACAGCTGCCATGTAGACAGACTGAGCCATAGCATAAACATGTGGAGGTGGTTGTTTATTTATTTTGTGAAGATTTTTTACCATGTGCATAACCTGTACCATATAAAATGAATAACATTTAGTGTATAATCATTGATTATATTTGATTTAAAGTATTAATGTTTACCTTATCAGTATATAAATTTAAAGGAGATCCAGGATTAATCATTAACATTGTAGGTCCAGCATATGTGTGAATAAGATTTGAAGTATATCTGCTGCGTATTACATTTAAAATACTTGACTCATTTAAATAATTCAATTGTGATAAATCTTCAACCATTTGCATTTTAACTGGATTCATCTAAAATTAAAAATATTAACATCATGTAATTAATGATTTAAGACTAAGAAAATCAAAAAATTTTGTATTGTATTTCAATTAAATAATTATACAATCATAACATAAACACATTATAAATTAACTAACCTAATATTATTTATAATATAAAGTTATAGTTTTGCGTATAATACAATTTAATTATTGAATATTTATTGCATATATATATATATATATTGCATATATGTTCATAATTAATAATAATATTAATATTTTCATCCAACATTTGATATTTCAATTTACCTTTTCTAAACTATCTTCATCCACAGTATATTCTTTACCACCAAAAACTTTAACCAATACTTTCGTTGTACCATCTGAAGTAGTTTTCTTTGTATATTGTACAGGTGAAAATCCTTCATTGTGAACTAACCAATATGCATCAGAATCAGGAGAATTCAATTCAGCTGGAGAATCGTTGTATTCTGGTTCCGATTTCGAAATCTATATACAAAAAAAATGTGTTATTGTTTTGCAAAAGTATAAAAATTATTTATATCTACTCATAAGATAATCAAATAAAATTTAGAGTAGATGAACTGTTAAACCACTTCGGATGAATACAATCTCCAATAATAAAGAGAAAGTGAAGGAAAGTATTGAAAGTATTAGGGATATAGGGTATAATTAATTGCGATTAAATAATTAATATAAATAAAATATAAACATAATTAGTATATCTGCAAAAGTTGTATGCTTTATTAACTTTAATGAATACATCAAGTATTTTCGTTTTTAATCATTCGACTTGTTTTTCGTTTAACACGATAAAACTATTTAATCACATTTTTAATTATATAATTACATATAAATTATGCGTTTCTTCATATTGATCAACGTATTTCAAATATAGTTAAATCAACAAAGTGCATAAAACAAAATTTGAATAATATATTTTTGTACTACAAATGAACAAAACATATTAGCTTAATAATAAAAGAAACACGTGGGATAATAATGTTTAAAAAAACAGTGTCAGTATGTCTGGTCTTAATGGTCAATGACCGCAACCGCGACTGCACTGGAGATAAGAAAATATTTTGCCTATAAAATTTCTAAGATGCTAAAATAACAATGCGATTTAAAAGAATGGCCAGAAAGCATTTTACTTTAATTAGTTGAGAAAACGTTGTCTACATAGTATACAGTTGTAATGAAAAACATTAAAAAAAAACATGTAAAAATATTGTAACACATAATTATTTTAATCAGCAATATTCATATAAACAAAAAATATCCAATAAATTCTAAAATTGATAAATTTACCAAATCAGTTAAAGGTCAAACGAGAAAAGTAGTTAAGATGAATGGTTTTATTTTTGAACAATTTGTAAAACTAATGTTAGTTATCTGATACCGGTGTATACAGATATTTTTGACCCTGGAAAAAATACAATTGCGAATAAACAAGAAAATAGATTAGATTACTAAGTTACAAAATGAATTTACAATCTTGTTTACCTTATCATTTTAAGTTTAAGTATAATGTATGTATACAAAATGCTATAGAACTTAAATATACAATAAAAAACATCATATTATTTAAGTAATTAAGCTCTATTTAAATTAAAGGAATGTTTATGTTGTTGTAATTTTTTAACTGGCTAAAGCCTAAACCTATCAACTATTTGTATTATATATATATATATATACATATACAACTCATGTTAGTGATTGAATTCTAATAGGAATTGTTCAGAATTGTTATAGGATGTAATTTTAATACAGTACTCCAAATAAAAATCATACACATTGCTATAATATTGTAAATACTAATTTTTATATAGTGTAGGTATAAAAAGCTCAATCATAAGTGTAATTGCAGTAATATATGTATACATATATATCTATAAACTTAAATAATTTAATAACAATTATAAAAAATGAAACAATGAATTTTACCAGAAAATTTTAACTATCAATATAAATTATACTAACTATATTTATAGTATGAAAATTAATCTCTTTTATCAAATTTGGATACTGAATGCATTTTTAATGGTACTATTATTATTAAAAGTCACAACGAAAATAAAATAAAATTAGATGAATACTTTGACAGAATGTTATGTAACGCATTTTTTTATTTTTTTTTATACAGTGATAAGTTTTATATTGTTATGACATTATAATTAAAATTATATTGTTTATGAAGATCACGGTTGAATGATTTTTATGATGATAAAAGTCTTCCGAATAATATAAATTTAAATCAATGGCCCATTAAATAGATTATTAAATCGTTTAAAAAGACAACATGAAATCCGAACGAATAATACATTTAAAAATCTAGATGCATAAAACGTACCGAACTTATTTTGACTTGATTATTTCAAAAACAATTAACAATTTTTAACAGTTTTATCACAGACAACTTAATAAATTAATTCGTTTTGTTAGCAATCACAACTACTGTGAAACTATATACTATATACTAGTATATAGGTATATTATATGTACACAAAATTATATTTTACAAAGATATATTATATTATAACTAACAAAGATATTTACCTAACAATTAAAAATGTATTGACTAATTATAGGTTATTAAACTTAATGCGATTGACATAGATTCGTAGTATGATGCAACCAACGTATTCAATAAGCGATGATGTGTAAAAATTATTATGTACAGTTTGATGTTAACGGTTCAGTTGAACCGTAGCAAAACCCCACAGATTTCAACAGTTTAAATATTTAAATCCATAACTTTTTGTAAAGCCAAAATAAACAATGCCATCATATATAACATATATTTGTAGGTAAACTTGAACATATTGAAATTAGACACGAAGAAAAGCTAAAGGTGATTAACATTGAATCTTCTACACTTAAAACGGAAAAATTCATAACAAATTTAACGGAAATTAGGTAATAATCCAAATATCATAACGGATAAAATAACATTTCATCATGACATACTATATTAGCATTTAAACAAATTGTGTTTTAAAATAAAAATTTCTATGACCGACTTATATATAATCAAAAATAGATTTTTATAGTATATAAATAGTATTTAAAATAAAAAATAAACACAGAATATACACATATACTGTAATATTACCAAAAACAGGTTTATTATTATTCTGAAGCTGTATTTATAAAAAAAAAATTGATACTTTTACGATTGAAGTTATTTATAAATTTTAAACATGCAGACTTATAGATAAACAGCTTTAAATTATTTATGGTAAATTAAAAATTGCACTAAAAAGTAAGAAATATTAATTATAAATATGAAATATTGTTGATGATGAATTGTTTTTGATAGATGCCAATAAAATATAAGGTTAATGAAATAAAAATGTTAGATGAAGATAACACGACTGAAATAAGAACAAACGGAAATCATTATACGTGTATGAGACGTGAGTCGATGTATAAACTTAATTATTTGTACAAGGTGTGTATATATATATATATGAATACTATCTTGCTAAATGGTCAATGAGGTCAATAAATTCTTATACGTCGGAACAATATGTATGAGGTTTTTCGTTTGCATCAATGAACATACCGTTATGGAATATTAAAACAGATTATAATAGAGCGTGCTTTTTAAAAGTCTATAAACGCACTCGTAATACTAACGATAAGGCATAGGACACTTTCGCAAATATTCTGTTTTGAAATTTCATCTCAATTAACGCGCGTCATACCGAAATAATGCATTAAAATACGTCAAATATTGTTATAAAAATGTGACAGCCGATTACATATACCCGGGTATATTGCGTCAGTGGCGCCGGACCCTAAGCCGAGGTCAAGTAACAACCTTACAATGTTTATAAAAGCAAGGTACGTCCGGATTTGTTCGACACAGAAAAAAACCCTAACCTACCGAGTGCTCGGGGCAGTTGTATTTTCAATTGGATCTAGTACTTTTTCAGAAGTCTGACGCCTTAAGTCGCCCCCTAGTGGCGATACAATCATTGCTCGTATCCACACCGTACCGTAGATCAACTAAAATATCCTAAAGATAACCCATAACATACAACGTATTGGAAAGACATATGTACAATAACAGTAAGAATGTTCGAAAAAATGTGAAACGTAACTTCAAAACCAAACCGATGTACATGAGGCTAAAAGTATGCGTAAACAATACCGAATTGTTAGGACTCGGGACAGACAAGACTGTTTTTAACGTTTTGCTCCGACGACGACGGGTTGAATACGATCGTTCTCTTACACCTACAGATTCGCGGTGCAATCGAGTGTCCGTTTAATTCGATTTACTATAAACGCGTTCGAGCGGTATTACGATTACAATAATAATATCATGACGTATAATATAATATTCATTATAATACCACGCAATCGTGCCAGGCACGCGGCGGAAACGCGGATCGTACACGCCCAAACGTTTTTTGTTCTTTTGTTTTTTTTTTCTACATAATATGTTATGTGTACTTAAAAAATATATCTGGTACGATATTATATGTGTGTAAAAGACGTGTCGAGTATGATTTGTGGTTTTCGAAAACCAGTCGCGCCGCTCGCAACACGCCTTTAAATAGGATATCACACGCGCATAATAATAATAATAATAATAATA